GGCTGTGTGNAGGGGGCATGGCTAAGGCCCTTGGACCCCCCCACCCAGGAGCCCAGGGTGATTCCAGCAGCAGCTTGGTTGTCTCTGAGCTGGATGCGGACATCAGTGGGGTGTGGCTGAGGCCCTCTGTCCCCCACCACCCCAGCACAGGAGCCCAGGGCACTTCCAGTAGCAGCTCAGTTGTCTCTGGCATGGATCAGGGGGATGTGGCTGTAGCCCTCAGCCCCCCACCACCCCAGCTTGGGAGCCCAGAGTGCCTCCAGTGGTGGCTTGGTGGTTGTTGCTGGGCTGGATGCAGACATCAGGTGGGAGTGGCTGAGGCCCTCAGCCCTCCGTGCCCCAGCTTGGGAACCCAGGGCACCTCCAGTGGCAGTTCAGAGGTTGTTGCTGGGCTGGATGTGGACTTTGGGGAGCATGGCTGAGGCCCTCGGCCCCCCACCGCTCCAGCTTGGGAGGCTAGGGTATTTCTAGCTGCAGCTCAGTGGTCATCGTTGGCCTACATGTGGTTGTTGGGGGGCGGGGGGGGCTGGCTCTTGGCACCCCACCTACCCTGGCTTGGGAAACTGGGGTGCTTCCGGTGGCAGCCTGGTGGTCATCACTGGGCTGGATGCAGATGTCAGAAGGTCATGGCTGAGGCCCTTGGCCACCTCCACCCGGCTTGTGAACCTGGGGGACTTCCAGCTGCAGCTTTGTCATTGTAGGGCTGGATGCAGACACTGAGAGGATGTGGCTGAGGTCTTGAGCCTTCCCCCAATTCTGACTTGGGAGTCTGGGGGGATTCCAGCTTTTTTAGGTTTTATAGTTGTTCTTTGGTGGTGTTAGATCTTTCCTGGGTAATATCAGAACTTTGTCTCTGATTTGCGAGTTTTTTAATTTTTCTTTCAATAGTTTTTAAAATTTTTTCTTTTCAATAGTGTTGGATTATTTACTATTCCTACCACTTAAACTCTACACTGGAGCTAATTTGTTGTCTTTTGCTTACTTCTAAAATGGGGGATCTTCCTGCAGGGACCAGCACTTGAGCTCTGTGGTTGAGCTAATTTGCTGCTTTGCTGCTGATTCCCTAGGGAAGGCTTTTTGTGCAGCTCAGGTTTTAATTGTT